GATCTCATATTTTGAATATTGCCTCTTTCGACAGAACTGAAATTTTTGGCTGCGGACGGCCTCTAACGAGCATCATATACTCCGGTAAGATTTTTTTTTTTTTTTTCATTTTCTTTCTTGAAGATTGAATCGCATCTCATTTTCTTTATTTTTCACTCAACCTTTGTTTATTTTCTATTAATATGAGTTCAAATCAACACCTTATTTTCATCATATGTAAAAACCCTAGGTTTGAGAAAAAAAAAGATGAGAAGATTAAATTGCATGTGCTATTGTCGATTTACTCTAAAATATTGTTTCAAAGTTGAAATCTGTAGTTCAAATCGACAAAAGGACATACAGAATTTAACAGAATATTTGTTCAGTTATGGAAACCTAGTGCGAACGGATCTGATCCATATTTTTTTCCTTTCCTTTGTTTCTGACAGAATGCGCTTCATCTTCATTTTGGTGAGCTTTAAATCTTGTTTGGAAAGTTTGTTTCTCAGGTAAACATCCGTACATCTCTATAATTTTTGTTAGTGGACTCCTCTGTAGTTTTTGTAGTTGATTTTTATTGTGGTATGTGATAGAACGAAGTGATGTTTTCCAATCCAATCAATGTGCCAACACAGTCTGCCAACTGAGAATTCAATTACTGACTCACATTACCTTCAAACACCCTTCAATATAGTTAATTAACTCCTCTCTCTCTCTCTTTAGAATTTCTGCATGACTGCATATTGTAACTATTGTTCATGACATAAAAGGAAGCAACTTTGCATTATATTTAAGAAAAGAAAAATCTGTACTAAACAAATAAGTAACAATTCATAAAAATATATAAAATTGGGCTATAGACTCCTCAATATTAATAACTGTATTAGTACTTCTAATTGTCTATGAAATCATATATAATATATTCTAAAGGAATGAACAATTTCTTTATATGAAATTTAAAATTAAAAACTGAACTATTACCAAGTAGTGTGTATATGTATATATATTTATGATATTATCACGCTCCTCTGTCTCTCTCTCTCTCTCAACAATACTGCAAGTGTTCATTATATCCCTAGAAGCACATAGCTCCTTAACCCTCTCCTTTCTAAAGATCCCAAAAGAAATTGAGGATGGGTATTCAAAATCTTCTTCAAAAACTTCAGTAGTTTTTGTTTTCTTCCCAAAAGGCATAACGCAAGTGTTCATTATATCCCTATAATTTTTTTACTTTTTCATAATATGCCAACGGCAGAGTGAAACAAATAAAAAAAATTGCACTGGAATTCTTGGCCTAAGATTATTCCATCTCCCGTGAACAAAGTAAAATAGTATATCATCATCCCCTCACATCCCATTCGAAAGAACATATTATATATTATTATTCAAACATTTTTTATTTTTATTTTTATAATAGCAAGTAATTCACATGCTTACTTTTGTTAAGCAAGAATTTGACTTTTTTACCTTTATTTAAGAAGTTAGAAAAGATCTAACTTATCTGTATGAATAATGTTAAAAAGACCAGTAGTGCGGGAGGAATGAATCGAAAATGATAAAACATTACTTTTACTTGAACAATAGAAAATGCGTTTGAACTGTAACAAAATGGTAAACTTTTTGTTATTAAAAGAACAATTCAAAAAATTCTTCTAAGAACTAACAGCAAATGCAAGCAATACCTCAAGTTCCACGTCCAACCGAAATATTCTCCAACATTACTCCCTATCCCAATTACCTTAGACCCTTGGTCAATTGTTTTAAAGTTTCTTTAGAGATGCAGGTTATATTCATTATGTTATTGTTAAGCATCATTTAGTCAAAAAGGTTTGAGCTTTTGGAAGAGTCGGTGGTTAATATAGTACCACATTAAACAGTTTGTCATTTATGATATCCTTAATTTCATCTACAGTAGTATATCTCCCTTGGAGGGATAAAAAATTCATTCTTTAATTTTTTTTTCTTCATAATTGTTCATTCTTTATTTTGATTTAGGGTCCATCATCTTCGCAACTTCTTTTCTGTCGCTGATCGCCCGTTGTTCAAGTGAACTGTAAGTTTTCTGGTTGTGATGCTATATTTATTTATTTAGGGTTTCCTTCTGGGGTCCTTGCAAGGTTAGTAGGGAAATAAAAAGGCCTCATAGGGGCTACACTATTTTTTTTTTTTTTTAAATTATATAACACTTTCCGTGGTAGAAATTCTTTTTTCTACCACGGTTCTGCACCGTGGTAGAAATTCTTCTACTTACTACTACGGCCGTTTCCACCACGGTTCAAAACTGTGATAGATATCATTTTCTACCTTGGTAAAAAGCTGTTTTTCTTGTACTGTAGCATTATTTCAAGAACCAACCGACTTCTGTATCTAGATCACGGATCAAATTCTTATCATTCTTTTGTACAGTACATGTTTTGATTGTAATGCTAAGAAGCCTAAGACTCTGATTATGGAAAATGAAGTTCAACGGTCCATATCTTTACGGGCAAATAGTAGGACAGACCGTTCTTTTCAACAACAACAAACTAAAGGTAAGCCACACATACATGTGTGCGTTCTTATATATGGAGTGAGTGAGTTTTTGGATTTGGACGAATAGTTGGAGTAAATTATGTGGTGGTTGATGCAGATCCTGAAGGTGGTTTCTTTTCTCCTGAGAGGTTTTCTCAAGATTATCCAATAAAGCTTGTTTGGAAAAGGGGATTTATTCGTTTGGTTCTTGTTGGTGGCATTACATGGATGTTACTCATTCTCAGTGTACTATTATTTCATGTTTGGTCTTGCCAATCTTCGCTGACTTTCCTTTCAGGTATTGCAGGACTAGCAACATAACTTCTTCTTCTTATTTTTTTTATTTTTATTTTTATTATTATTATTTTTTTTTTATAATGGAAATTTATACCTAGTTATTTCTTGAATGTATGTTTAAGTTTGTACATATTGTGCAAAAGTTTAGAGAAAATTTACTGAGAGGAGAGATGAATTAATGGAACTATTGATGACTGTACTGAACGGTGTAAGATTCCTTACTGTTATACTCAAGCATTCATATTTCCAATAATGAAAGTCACAATCTATGATCATCCTTAATATTTTCATCATTAAGAATTTTTTACAAGAAGAAACAATTTCCAGGATTGATCCTAGATCAACTTTTTGCATTTGCAAATAATGCCATTCGTAAGGATTTCGTGGCAGGTGGTTTTATTTGTGGTATCCATGGGAATTTGAAGGCCAAGGCATCGGACAGATATGATTATTGTGTTAAAAGGTTAACATAAAGGTTGACATTGGATGGCTGGATATTGTGTTTGGATGACCGGGATATACTTATGAATTACATTTAGTTTATCTCTTGGTTTTTGCCAAACTTGGTGATTTTTTAGAAAAATAGGAGAATTATATTCATTTACAAAGCAGCAAAGTGGCTCGGTACTTTGAAATGACCTTTTTTTATCTTTAATTAAATGATATACGCCATGTTATTTCATTAGAAGTTCACCTTCCTTGTCATTCATAACTTCCTTTTCTGGACTCCTTGGCTTGTTGCTTTTTAAAAGCCTATGTAGATGCTACTTTTTTTAGAATTTTGTATTGAGGAAAATATTTCTAGTTCAAAAAAATAATGAAGTAACTAAATCTTATGCCAGCCTAATGAATAGAATATCCGGGTCCATAAAGGATACCTGCGGGCAGTAGCTTTTTAGCATTCTAGCACAGAATGAAACTTCTATTGCTTCTTGTATATCCCACCTTTTTGGTTATACCTCCTATGTGAACTTTTTTTTTGCTTTGATAACCACGGTGTCCAGGGGCGGAGCCAATTAAGGACCAGGAGGGGCTCGTGCCCCCCCCCCCCCTGGATTTTCTCCCTCTTTTATATTCTATATATATTTTATAATAATATATATGTTTTTTTAATGAAAATATGGAAAGTGCCCCCCCTCAATTTTCTCATTCTCCGGAGAATTCTATATATGTTTCACATTTTTTTATCCTAAATTGTTTCCTTAATCCTTATATTCTATATTTATAAATTAATTTCATTCCAAAAGTATCATTATCTCTTTCTATATATATATACACTCATAAATATTGACTTATATACATATACATTATATTATAAATATATGATATGGTATATGGTACTATAATGTGCCCCCCTTGAAAATTTTTTCTGGCTCCGTCCCTGACGGTGTCTGGGGCTTTGTCCTGACTAATCACAGGTCCCGTGCAAAGCTGCCCCTCCACATGGATCGGGTAAAGCTTAGACTATGTCCTTGGGCGTGACCCCAAGCATTAAAACGGATATGGGATACGGATACGACACGACATGAATATGGCAACAGGGGAAATCTTATAAAATTAGGATACGGACACTGCGGGAACACGACAAATAAGAAATATATTTTCTATATACATGATGTTGTACTTTAAGAGTAATATTATTTTTTACAATCTCATAATGACCAAAAAAAAAAAAAAGTGTTTTGATGGAAAAAAGAAAGAATGATAGAAAGAGGGTTAAGAGGGGGGGGAAGGGGGGGAACAAAGAGACAAAGAGGATTAAGGTTTTGTTAGAAAAAGGATTAAACCTTAGTCAAAAATAAAGGTAAGAATCCATAGAAGAGAAAAAAGTTTATGGGGAATAGAGGAAAAAGAAAAAAGAGAAAGAAATTTATTGTGAGAGGAAAAAAAAGAAGTATTTTAGGGTCTGTGAAGAACAAGAAGAAGAAGAAAGAAAAGAAGAGAGAGAGATAGAAAGACCATTCACTGGTAGCGAAGCTTGGTTGGTGGGACAACAAGAGAGTCAAGATGATCGTGTAAGGGTTCGAACCTTTGAACTAAAATATAGGAATAAATATCTAATTTTTTAGTATAAAATTGTTTTATGAAACAACAATTATTTAAGTAATTATGTAATTAAACAACTCCTAATATTTATACTTCAACTCAACATTGTTTCTAAAACTAACTTAAAAATCCCCAATGAGTGGGACACGCGTGTCGGACACGTATCCATGGCGTGTCGGAAGCGTGTCCACGGTGTGTCCGGATATTTGAAAAAATATAAATATTTGGACACATATTTTGGCGTGTTCGACATATGTTGGGGTGTTTCTGGCTCGTGTCGGTGTCCGACACGAATTCTTTGCCCTTTAGGTTTTTCTGTGCTTCCTAGTTGTCATTCATACCTTCCTTTTCTGGACTCCTTGGCTTGTTGTTGCTTTTTCAAAGCCTATGTAGATGTTAAGCTTTTTTTAGGTTTTTGTATTGAGGAAAATATTTCTAGTTAAAAAAAAATAGTGAAGTAACTTATAAATCTTATGCCAGCCTAATGAATAGAATATCGGACTCCATAAAGGATACCTGCGGGCAGTAGCTTTTTAGCATTCTAGCGCAGAATGAAACTTCTATTGCTTCTTGTATATCCCAACTTTTTGGTTACACCTCCTATGTCAACTTTTATTTTTCTTCGATAACCGGGGTGTCTGAGGCTTTGTCCTGACTAATCACAGGACCCGTGCAAAGCACCCCCTCCACATGGATCGTGTAAAGCTTAGACTATGTTCGCGGACATGACCCCTATGGAATTGTTTGCACCTAAGAGGAATCGATCCTCAGACCTGATACTTCATGAGGCACCAGTGCCCAAATCTTTTCCAACTAGGCCAACCCTTTGGGGTCCTTCTATGTCAACTTTTTTTGTAACTAAACTTAGTGGTTAGCAAGAGAATGGTAATTTTGAAATCTACATAAACCTAGAGAACTCGTGGTCTGTGGAGCTAGTGGTAGAAAGAATATTAGGAATCAAAATTGAGTTAGGGAAAACAATGCATTGAAGGGGAAGGAAACTCTTGTCATTATGGAACCATTCTCAATGTTTGAGGAATTTTTTTTTGAATGAATCAGAATGATTCACAAATTTGTAGTTCATTTGCTAATTTTCAATGTGAATACTTGCGTTGATATGTTTGTGTCTGCTAAATGAAAATGTCAGGATGTTGCATACGATTTCAAATTTTCTACCCAAAATTATATAAATTTTATTTTTTAGTGATTTTGCTGTTTTCTGCTTGATCTACAGTTATTTTTAACAAAGATAGCAAGGTAAGTGATGTGTTAAACAACATGGGATTTGGACTAAAACCACCACATCGTAAGCCTATATAGCATTTTCTCTTGTATTAAGTTTTCATCTCTCAATATGAAGATGTAGTTCACTTTTTTTGGTTATGACATGCAATTAGGCTGTCCTATTCCCGTTGCCGATGACCCAGACAAAGTAGCTATTCCGAAGCGAAGATCGCCGGACAAAATTGTTAAAACTTTTTCGTATGTTATGGAGGATGAGCTAGCAAATAATGGATCTCAGTCATCTCCACTATTTGGAGGGCATCAAAGCTGGTCGCAGAGAGATGATAGTTTTAAACTTAAGTCGGCGATGATGGTGAACAACTACTCTATATACAGTCAATTTCATGCTAGTTATATTTTTGTTTATTTAATTCTAAAAATGACATCAAGGCATCTCTATGCAGTTGTTTCAATAAATGTTCTTATGAGACGAGTATAAATCAATCTCAACTACAAAGCTAAGTCAATATCATCACATTCTTGTTGCTGCCAATGAACAAAGGTTTTCCTTTTGACTTTTGTTTTTCTAATGACGTGTTTGAACTATGAAGATCCAAAAAAAAAAATTAGGTGAAAAACATAGAGCCATCTCCAACTCAATTAAAACAGTAGCTTTTTCCCCTTCTTCTCTATTTTTATTTCCCATTAAACAATGGGTGTTCATTAATGAAATCTAGTCTACTTTATTATTATTATTGTTATTATTATTATTATTATTATTTGCTGGGCCGTTTATAGATTGTTTGGTGAGTTTCCCTATAATATCATTTCTGTTTTTCTAAAATTAAAATTAATATTTTATGAATAAAATGAAAATACTTTCTGGTCGATGTGCAGAGACTGGTATGGGAGCTTCTAAATCCGGACGATTCTTAATATAGAGGTTTTTACGTAGTAATAGATGTTTCAATATTATGTAATTTTAGCAGCATCTCCTAAAAAGAGCAGTAAATTTTTTATCACACTTGTTAGGGGAAAAAGTACTTGTTTGAAATCAAGAAATATTGGGAGAAAAATGGGTGCAAACCTATACTTGTTCTTTTCTTTCCCCCTTGCTTGAAATAATTCTAAGCAATAATAGCTTAGATTAAAAATGTTTTCCCAGTAGTACCTAATCTCACAAGTCTTAGTACTGATTTACATAGTAAATAAATAAATTATGCTACTGTAGTTGCTGCTGGTACTGGAGTTGTGTTGGAGTTGTGTTGTGATTGATGATTGTGAAGATTGTCTCTCCTCCAACAGTAATTGTAATCAGCTTGAAGATAGGTTTGAGTGCAGGGTGCAGAATTTTGAGCATTTCTTAGATGTATGGGGTATATAATTCTGTTAATATATTAATGAGGTTAAGATAGTTGTTCCTAATCTGTCTTATTAGATATTGATTAATAAAAAATTATTATATACATCTGTGAAGAACTATAACTAAAAGATGGCTTATCTTTTGTTTGTTGTGTTTCGTGGAAAGACTCCTTGTCCCGATATCTTACTCTGAATAAAAGTTGTTTTTATCAAGACAAATACGAAGCTCATTCTACCTTGATCAAAAGGGTTAAAGATCATCTTTTGAGCAGGTAAAAGAATGAGGATGGTGGTTTGAATAGTTTTCTCATTTGATTGATTTTAAAGTTATTTTCAATTGTAACCAATTAGAGCACTATTAGTCAGTCACACAAAAGCAATAAAAAGAAAGACGAGAAAAGTAAGAGAGATGACACTAGGATTTTTAACGTGGAAAACCTTTGCGAGAAAAACCATGGAGATTCGTCCCTGGCAAAGCAACCCACAACAACCGAGAGAGTACGAGTTCTAGTGTTTTGGAACTACTCCATGAGTTGTCGATTCCAGGACCTTTCAGACTCACCTGTCATTGTTTTACCTCCAACGCTCAGTGCCTTCTGACTCCGGTGCCTTTTGGAATCAACGGCAACACTGATCCACGCCAATGCAATCACCTCACCATAATCTGCTTCTCCTAGTGATTGACCTCACCTCGCCTTTACTTTATGTGCGAAGATCGAATGACATCTGTTTCTCTGATCGCCTGCACAACTTTGTTAAAAATCTCACAATACTCTCGATCAGATGATGAATTTCGCACTAAACACTCAACGAGAGCATGTATGCTCACAATATGAAAGATGAAATTTAATAAAATCCCAGTTTGATTTTTCTCTCAAAATCTCACAAAATACAAAATATAATCTGTGGTATTCTCTCTCATAAAATCCTTATCAAAGCTGAGAATTTATAATGCAGAGAATCCTTGAAAACATTAAGAAAGAAGTATAAAAACACTAACGGACGTCTCTTTGAGTTCTGTTTATGTTGGACTAAAAACCTTTATCAAAATGAAAATTTTGATCTTGTACAAGACACATTCATCCTGTTGTGATATTGGGCCAACCGGTTGAGTAGATCTTTGGAGCACAACAAAAAAAAATTCCAGGGGCAAGTACAACCGGTTGGGTTTTTTGCCAATCAATTGTGAAGTATGCTAAAATTGAGTTCAATGACTCCAGAACCTTGTACAACTGATTAGTGATTTGTCCCAACCTGTTGTGAAGCATTCTGAAGTAGTTTGAATACCCAACAGAATTGCATTCAATTGGTTGGTCAAACTGACAAACATTTATAAGGCATTCTGTTTGGTATTTTACCAAGTTCCAGAATCCTCAACCAACCCAACTTTTGAACTTACCTGGCTTAAAATAGTTCACTTTCGACCAATAGGTATTGAGTTCATGTCGATCACTTGCCGCTCAACTTGCAAAATAGAGACTTACTATTAGGAAAGAATCTCTTTATATATATTTGTGATGTGTTGCATATGACTTATAATTTGACAACTTTAGAGGAAACGGAAGGGAAGGCAAGCTGAGCGGACCTCAGCAGAATGCCAACTTTAACTCTTTTCTATTATTATGAAAAGATATGTATCGTCATTCTTGTCTTCTTCCCTTTACTTTAGGTCTAAGTTTTAATTGCGTAATCTATCTTTAGGTGCACTGTGGTTTTATGCGAAATGGTGGTGCAGAAATGGCTCCAAAAGACATTGAATATGCCAAGAAGTGTAGACTTGTGGTTGCATCAGGCATTTTTGATGGATATGATACACCTCATCAGCCATCGAATTTAAGCCCCCATTCTAAAAAGCTTTTTTGCTTTCTTATGGTGGTGGAGGAAAGTTCTCTTTAACTTCATAAGTAAGAATGTTACTGTCAGGCAGGACTATGATGGGGGACAATGGGTGGGCATTTGGTGGCTTATTTTTCTGAAGTATCCATTCTAAAAAGCTTTTTTGCTTTCTTATGGTGGTGGAGGAAAGTTCTCTTTAACTTCATAAGTAAGAATGTTACTGTCAGGCAGGACTATGATGGGGGACAATGGGTGGGCATTTGGTGGCTTATTTTTCTGAAGTATCCACCGTATGATGAACCCAGAAGAAACGGAAAGGTTCCAAAGATATTAATGTAATGACTCAAAACTAATACTTTTTAAACAAAAAAAAAAATGTAAACAACCATCACATAGACATACTTTTCATTCAACCATGTTATACACATTTACATAACTAGCATGTTATCAATTAAATCATTTTAATCAAAATCAACAACAATTAAACATGCTATAACACACATAGAGGAGCATGATTCATTATAGAGCAAGATTCCATGGCTTAAGATGTCCCTACCTCACAATCCAAGCCGAAATCCCTAGAATAGGTCCTCCAAATTCGAGCTCCAAGGAAGACTCAAATCTGGAAATTGATAGTATGGATGCGTAGAGCTCGCTACAAGCTTCGTTTCGCCTCAAACGGTTCCTAAATCCGATGAAAGATGATTGAGTAATCAAACCTCAAAGTTTTTGTCTCCAAAATGAAAGAAAAAGAGAAGGAACCGAGGGGGAGAGAGAGCATACGGGAAAGAGAAAGAAAATGAGAAAGAAAAGAAGATTTCTTGGCCAAATAAGTTAGTGGTGGGCCCCACTTGAAATTATTTTCCTTTTCTCTTTATTTTTTTGTCTCTAATTACCCCACAAATACACAATTGCACCATACAAATGCTACATCACCACATAAATTAAAATGTAGGAAATGTAACTGGACCCAACCACAAACCCGGATGGTAAAGTGAAAAGATGAAAATGCCCTTGCATTAACGAATTTTCAGAAAATTCTAAAATGCTGAAAATTAGAATTATCACAATCTCCCCAACTTATAAGGATTTCGTCCCCGAAATCAAGACATACCTGAGGAAGAAAACAACGCTGGGTACTTAGACCGAACCTCCTGTTCGAGCTCCCAAGTAGCCTCCTCGACTCCGTGGTGTCTCCAAAGGACTTTCACCGTTGGTATCGTCTTGTTCCTCAACACCTTCTGCTGAGTGTCAAGGATCTGAATTGATCCTTCCTCGTAGGAAACATCCTCATCAATATCCACATCAACCCAACTCAAAATGTGAGATAGATCCGGCTCGTACTTTCGTAACATCGATACATGAAAGACATTGTGAACTCTGTCCATCTGTGGTGGTAAAGTAAGTCTGTAGGCAACCTCTCCTACCCGATCCAAAATCTCGAATGGTCCAATAAATCGTGGCGATAACTTGCCACTCTTCCCAAATCTCATCAACCCCTTTCGTGGAGAAACTCGTAGAAAAACGTGGTCTCCCACCTCAAAGGATAACGGTCGTCTCCGCTTATCCGCATAGCTCTTCTGTCGGCTCTGAGCTGTAAGTAACCTCTGTCTTATCAACTTAATCTTCTCAGTAGTCTCGAGTACAATGTCGGGTCCTAAGGCGGCTGTCTCGCCTACCTCAGTCCAACAAACAGGAGACCTACAAGGTCTACCATACAACGCCTCAAATGGAGCCATCTGGATGCTCGCCTGATAACTGTTGTTGTAGGCAAACTCAATAAGTGGAAGGTGATCCTCCCAACTACCTCCCAAATCAAATACACATGCCCGAAGCATATCCTCCAAAATCTGGATAGCACGCTCTGACTGACCATCTGTCTGTGGATGGAATGCCGTACTAAGATGCAACGCTGAACTAAACGCTGCTTGAAGTCCTTTCCAAAACTTCGAAGTGAACTTAGCATCCCTATCTGACATAATGGTTATAGGGACTCCATGTAACCTTACAATCTCTTTCACATAAAATACACCAAGCTTCTCTGCATCGTCTGTTGCCTTAATAGGCAAAAAGTGAGCCGTCTTGGTCAATTTGTCAATGATGCCCCATACAGACTCATTGCCCCTTCGTGACCTTGGAAAACCTGTTACAAAATCCATAGCGATATGCTCCCATTTCTATTGCGCTACAGGTAATGGTTGCAACAAACCTGCTGGCCTCTGATGCTCGGCCTTCACCTGCTGACAGGTAAGGCATCTAGCCACAAACTGTGCAACATCATTCTTCATCCCGCTCCACCAATACTGACGTCTCAAATTGTGATACATTTTAGTACCACCTGGATGAACTGCAAAACGGGAAGTGTGAAACTCCCGTAGGACATCCTCACGACATACTGTGGGAACCACCAACAAACCCCTGAACCGTAGACCCCCATCTGCATGCAAGGCCCAATCTTTCACTGTCTCACCACTAGAGATCAAAGCGTGGATGGCATCTAAGTCCGGGTCCTGTCTCTATGACTCAATCACTCGTACAACAAGAGTAGGCTGAGCCACAAGACTAAATAAGAATGCCGACTCACTGTAACCATCATCATCAAAACACTGTAATCCCATCTCTGCCAGATCTTCAAGCATCTTCCACTTCCGAATAGCTAAACTGGCCAAAGTTCCATGAGATTTTCGGCTTAAGGCATCAGCTACAACATTTGCCTTGCCCGGATGATACTGCAAATCAAAGTTGTAATCTTCCAAGTACTCAACCCATTGTCTCTGTCTGTTGTTCAAGTCCTTTTGGGAAAAAAGGTACTTGAGACTTTTGTGATCTGAAAATACCTCGAATCTCTCATCATACAAGTAATGTCTCCAACACTTCAAGGCAAATACAACTGCCGCTAACTCCAGGTCATGAGTAGGGTAGTTGTACTCGTGAGTCTTCAACTGTCGAGACCCATAAGCCACTACTCTACCATCCTGCATCAATACATATCCCAACCCCTCACGTGAAGCATCACAATAGATCACATAACCCAAGCCACGCTCAGGTATCACCAACACTGGCGCTGTAGTCAATCTCGTCTTCAACTCCTGAAAAGATGAATCACAGGCCTCATTCCAGACAAACTTGACCCCTTTCTGGGTCAAACGGGTCATAGGAGCTGCCAAACGGGAGAAATCCTTCACAAATCTCCGATAATAACCCGCTAAACCAAGAAAACTGCGGATCTCAAACACATTCTTGGGTCGCTCCCAAGTCAAAACTGCTTCAACCTTTGATGGATCAACTGATACTCCACCTTCCGAAACAACATGCCCCAAAAACTTCACCTACTGTAGCCAAAACTCACATTTCTCGTATTTGGCATACAATCGGTGCTCCCGCAAAATCTGTAAAACAATACTCAAATGGACCTCGTGATCTTTCCGAGTCCGTGAGTACACAAGAATGTCATCCACGAAAACTACCACAAACTGGTCCAAGTAATCGTGAAAGACGCGGTTCATCAAGTCCATGAATGCCGCTGGCGCATTAGTCAAGCCAAAAGGCATAACAAGGAACTCATAGTGTCTATACCGTGTACGGAATGCTGTCTTCGGGATATCCTCATCCCTAACCCGTAACTGATAATAACCAGACCTCAAGTCAATCTTCGAGAAACAACTGGCTCCCCTCAACTGATCAAATAAATCATCTATCCTTGGCAAAGGATACTTGTTCTTGATGGTGGCATGATTCAACTTCCGGTAATTAATGCACAACCTCAAAGATCCATCTTTCTTCTTAGCAAATAAGACCGGTGCGCCCCACAGTGACACACTCGGTCGGATGAAACCTTTCATCCTCAAATCATCAAGCTGCCTCTTCAATTCTTCCAATTCAACTGGGGCCATTCGATATGGTGCCATAGAAATCGGCGCGGTACATGGCATCAAATCAATAGAGAACTCCACTCCTCGGTGTAGAGGCAACTCTGTCAAATCCTCCGGAAACACGTCCAGAAAATCACAAACAACCGCAGGATAATCCTCTTTCCCAACATCATCTTCTTCGGCTATAAGGCTAGCCAAGAAGTAATCACCATGACTTCGTCCACGAACTCCATAAAACGATGAAATGTGGGAATCACTCCGATCTCCCACGAAAAAGAAACAGTCTCCCTCGGAAGTGAAAACTGTAACCCTTCCTCTGTAACAGTCGATCGTGGCATGAAATGAAGCCAACCAATCCATCCCGAGAATGACATCAAATCTAGTCATCTCCAGGAGGATAAGGTCAAACACGAAAGTCCGCCCGACTATCACAATGGGACACTCCCGCACAATTTGGCTCAAAGACACTGAAACCCTAACTGGCGTATCAACACTCAATGCCCGTTCCAAGAAACTAACTTCCAACCCCGATACAAGTGCAAATGATGATGAAATGAAAGAATGAGATGCACCAGAGTCAAACAAAACACGGGCCCAACAACCAAACACTGGAAATATACCTCGAAGAACTGACGGTCCAGAAGATGCATCGGTCTGTGCCAGTGCAAAAACACGTCCCTGTGGTACCTGTGCCTGAGGACTACCAACCTGAACACCTGACTGCTGCACTGACATAGTAGGAGTATCCCTCCTAACTGACCGTGAACCCTGTGAAGACACGGCAGGCTGTGGTGGTGGCGGTCTGAAACCTGACTGAACTGTAGCCGACTGAGACGGCCTCTGTCGTGACCCCCTGCCACTACCTGTGCCTACTCCCTGGCCTGGACAATCACAAATTAAGTGACCCTGCTGGCCACACCCATAACAAGCCTTCGGAGCTGACGAAACTGAAGACGATCTTATCGGACAACTGGACTTGTAATGCCCAGGCTGCTGACACTGATAACAAACAACTGCACTCCTGTCAGATCCAGCTGGCATAGGAGTGGTAGGAGCAGATCTTGTAAACTGTTGTCCCTGAAGCTGAGATGAACCACCCTTGTTCTTATTCCAAAAAGATCCCTCTGAAGATAGCCCTGCACCCCTCTTTGCTTCCATTGTTCTCTTCTTGCATCTTTCTCTTTATTATCAGCCTCCAACATCAAAGCCCTTTCCACTGCTTCAGAATAAACCTTAATGAACTGTGCCATGATCAACGGCCTCATCCGATCATTAAGACCGGAAATAAACTTCTGAGTCTTATTAGCTTCATTTCTCACCACTTCTGGAGCAAAACAGGAGAGTGAGGTGAACTTGTTCTCATACTTCGCCACTGACATGTTCCCTTGAATAAGATTATGAAACTGGTCTTGTAACTCCCATCTTTTGGAAAGCGGAAAATACTTCTCATAAAACAGCTCCTTGAACCTGTCCCAACTCATCTCTTCAATCTTGTACTAGTTGGTGATCGACTTCCACCAAACCTTGGCATCCATAGCAAACTTGTAAGTTGCTAGGATGATCTTCAAGTGATCCTCTGTCACATCCATTGAGGTTAGTTGGGTTTCAACTTGATCCAAGTAGTCATCTGCTATCATTGGATCCGCACCGCCCTCAAACATAACCGGCATCAGCTGAGAAAACCCCTTAATAATCTTGAGACGCTTCTGAGCTGGCGTCTCCTCAACTTGAACTGTAGGTTGTGGTGCCGACTCCGACTGAGCAGCAATCGTTGCCCTTACGACATTTTGCAACAAACGATTAAACTCCAGTGCCACAGAACCTTCACCCACTTCTACAGGTACGGGTGTTTCAACATTCTCTCTTCTTGGGGGAACAGCTCTTGGGGGAATCAAGTCCCTAAGAAGCATGTTCTCATCATTTAGCTCCTCCGGATTGGAGCTGGAGCTCTCACCAACATCACCCCTTATTGGCCTAGGGCCAACTTCTCTAGGTTCCTCACGCCGTGACATCGTGCTATAAAACGAGAAAACGATTCAGAAACATGACACTAAGACTGTGGATGACTCAACAAGAATTGATACCGTACAACACTTAGCATGCAAGACTATGCAAGAAACATTTTAACATAAACAAATAAGCAGTAAGCACATAGGCAATTAAGCATGCTCATTTAAGTAAAATATCACGTAACAAGTAGTCAAGTAAGCAACACAAACAACATTCCATGTGACCCTAAGTAGGCCTCTACCCGTCGTCCTAAAGGTTTTCGAACCTTTACTCTGATACCAAATTTGTAACGACTCAAAACTAATACTTTTTAAACAAAAAAAAAAAAAAAATGTAAACAACCATCACATAGACATACTTTTCATTCAACCATGTTATACACATTTACATAACTAGCATGTTATCAATTAAATCATTTTAATCAAAATCAATAACAATTAAACATGCTATAACACACATAGAGGAGCATGATTCATTATAGAGCAAGATTCCATGGCTTAAGATGTCCCTACCTCACAATCCAAGCCGAAATCCCTAGAATAGGTCCTCCAAATTCGAGCTCCAAGGAAGACTCAAATCTGGAAATTGATAGTATGGATGCGTAGAGCTCGCTACAAGCTTCGTTTCGCCTCAAACGGTTCCTAAATCCGATGAAAGATGATTGAGTAATCAAACCTCAAAGTTTTTGTCTCCAAAATGAAAGAAAAAGAGAAGGAACCGAGAGGGAGAGAGAGCATACGGGAAAGAGAAAGAAAATGAGAAAGAAAAGAAGATTTCTTGGCCAAATAAGTTAGTGGTGGACCCCACTTGAAATTATTTTCCTTTTCTCTTTATTTTTTTGTCTCTAATTACCCCACAAATACACAATTGCACCATACAAATGCCACATCACTACATAAATTAAAATGTAGGAAATGTAACTGGACCCAACCACAAACCCGGATGGTAAAGTGAAAAGTTGAAAATGGCCTTGCATTAACGAATTTTCAGAAAATTCTAAAATGCTGAAAATTAGAATTATCACAATTAACCCACAGGTTATTTCCTCAAGCACAGTACAGCATCTGGATTGATGGTAAAATGGAGCTTATAGTTGATCCATTGCTTATTCTGGAAAGGTATGTTCTTTTGGTGAAAACATTGCATAAATTTTTTTATTTATCATTTCTTATGGAGCTTTACAATGAGGTGAAACTGAAGCTTTTTGATAAATTGATACTGATGACTAAAAGAGTCGAATTTAGCTCACAAGAATACTGGTGTGCACCATGTGTGTCATGCATAGTGCTTTGGAACGGAACATGTGCCCCTTCTTAGATGAGGAACACACTTGTACCTTTAAATCTTTGAATTTAGTTTCCCAATATTTTTCTACCATTTTTATAAATATAAAGGGTTGTTTAATGATGATCTGATGAAATTTCCCTTTAAACTAATGGGATCTGTTGGTTAAGTTCCCTTGAGTCATGATGAAGGGTTTTTATTTTTTTTAATATATATATATATATATATATATATATATTGTTATTTATGGCGTGGAAAGCACACATTTGCCATTGCTCAGCACAAGCACCATCGGAATATCTACGAGGAGGCTGATGCAAATAAACGGAGGAAGCGATATGCTCGACCTCTTATTGATCTTCACATGAAAATATACCGTTATGAAGGACTGGAACCATGGAGTCCAAAGAAAAAAACCATCAGTGGTAAGAAAGGAACTATCTAAACTCTTTTCGTTTCATTTCTTCTCTTCTTATGCTTTGGTTTTTAAGTGAAGGTCAGATATATATATGCCCCTGAAGGTTGTTGACAGGTCAGGATCGTTGCACTGGGAGGTGCATAAGACTAACAGATTAGTGTCCAAGGGGTCTAATTTTACAATGAACTTTCACTACAGTAATGGATTTGGTGTACACATTCTTAGCCAATCACTAATGCACTATGGTCAATTGTCAAGGAACACATAAGAAATACAGGACCCAATCTTTATTTTCTCGATCAAAAACTATTACACCTGACTAGACTCTCGAAGGCCGAATCAGTCACACCACTAATTCACACTGTCAACCTCTTGGCTGGGTGCCTTGCATGTTTCCTGGGATTGGTACAAATAGGCAGCATCAACACGTACACATGAAGTAGGCTTGACCGGTAAGAGTGGGAGCAGCCTGAATATATATGTGAATAAATGACAGTAGTGAGGCCTTATAATCATGAGTTCCACTCAGGGATCTGTCAAACTGAGAACGCTAATCCTTGTTAGGTTGGCCCATTTAATTGTGCTGTTAAGCATATTTGTAGGGGTCTTAGAACGGTGTGGATAAGTGATGCAACTTGGCGGAGACCTAAAGACAATGGTGTTAAGTGTCAACCCTGTGGGGCCTATATAAGCAGGAATGTCATGAATTAGGCCTCATGATTGCTCATTGAGCGTCATGTGTCGTATGAAGACATCGATTCTCACTTTCTTCTTGACTAGGCTAGATGTTCTACTATTCTCCAGATTTGAAATGGAGTAAGGAGCCAGCTAAGTTTGCTTGAACATTCCATAGCCATGACATTTTGTGGAATCACTCCACTGACAAGCACTACACCCTACTCCCTGAGGGAGGGACCTCCTGTGCATTGACATTTCGACCTGAAGCAGATTTAAGCATAAGCATCATGGTACCACTTTATACTTGCCTTTCACTCGGAAGGGTGATGGCTTTTGTACATGAATGGACACGTAGATGCACACTTCATGAGGAGGTGTAGTTTAGGGGATCTTTTTTATTCTGCCATTCGTTTGTACAAGGCAGATGGATGTGGTCCCTTGTGGCATCTCTAGCCTGGCAAAGTTGAGGTTATCCTGTATTTCAACTGGCATCGTCAAATTTTTATGTGCCTTTGTGATTTGAAGCACCTTCAAAACGACCATTTTAGTGTTGGGGAGATGGATTTCCTTCCATAGATTTTCTATTATTTTTAAAAGAATGAGGATACGGAAGCCTCTTGCCTATGACAGACTGATACAGGATCTAAATCTATAGTTTCATGTTGTACCACGTGTAGAAATTTGAAAGGCAGGGTGCCTTATGGTGTACATGTTTTTATAAGTGACTAGTATAATATTGCAATCATGGATTTTCATGGCTGTATTATTGGGTTATATTCTTGCTAAAAGGTAGTAGGATTTAGAATGGCACAGTCCTGCTTCCTACACTGTCATTTCGATGCTGATAAAAAGCTGCACAGTTCCCCCTTAATGTTTCCAATAATCTTTTTGCCATTCTATGTTATATTGAGAGATTTTTTTTTTTTTTTTTTTTTCAAAAATGCAGATGTTCCAGAAGGAGCCATCATCATACGCGAGCATACAGCACTGAATAATTTGTTTAGTTGCTTGTGGTTCAATGAGGTCAATCTCTTCACACCAAGAGATCAGCTGAGCTTTGGATATGTTGTGTACAGGTTAGGAGGTGCGTTCAAATTCTTTATGTTTGATAACTGCGAGTATAACTCGCTGTTTGTGTTGCACCCACATACACGCGAGCATTCTTCTGTTATAGAGTGGGTGAAAGATTTAAATGAGTTCAAGAACAATAGTACTTTGAAAGAGAGTAGGGGAGGATTAGGCTTGTGGACTCCTTACCCTGGAAATCTTAATTCAGTTGCTTTACCACCTGTATCAAGAACATCAAAAGCAGGATTAGTTTTTCGTTACTCCAATTTTTTTTTTTGGTGTCAGTTTCGGAATTTTTGTAGTTGTCGGAAAATTTATATATTTTTCCTTCCTTGTTTCAAGGGGAAAATCATTAAGGCCTTGTAGAAAGTCTTTGTACGATATTTTGAAGAAGTTGAAGTAGGTTATACATAATTGCAACTGTATGTTCCTGCTTACCATCTTCTCTAATTGTTGGTGTAGAACTTTTCATGATGTGTTTGGATGTAATACATACATATAAATGTAGACACATGTATTTGTTTATACATGGAACGTTCAATGCATGCTCGCAATCTAGTACTACGTATTTAACTTCATATAACTGTATGACACGTGTACTATGTTTTTTCTTTTCTTTGTTCTCTCCAAATTCTAGTTCTCATTACTGCAATTTTCCTCTTTTCTCGAGAGGAGTAATAGTTGAAGGAAAATACCTCGGGCTCCAGGTCTGTCATGATCGGGATAACAGTTTATAGTCTAATTAAGTAAGCAAGAGGGACAGCGAGCTAATTTGATTTCGGTTTCTTTCATTTTTGTTTTTCTTTCCCTTCACTAAATCTCTGCCAACTAAAAAAGGATATTTTTTATATCCATTTTAACCCAAACAAAATAAATAAAATAAACTGATGAATTATTAAAATAAAAATATAATTTTTTATATCTATTTTAAATTTTTTATATTTGAAATAATGCTTCATAACATAAACACAACAGAGTGAGTATAGGCAAACATGTCACATCCTATCCAATGTTAAGCCTTGAGGTCCAAAGCCCGAAACCGTGTAGCATGTGTAATAATTAACCCCGCATAGTGATTGTGGTGCAACTTTGGCGTCTAATCAAGTTAGAAAATTTTGAAATTTGAGCTTTTTGAAATTTAAAATTTTAAATTCACAAATTGAATTCAAATTCTTTTTTAAATTTTTTCAAAACTTAGGCGCATTTGGGTTGGGCTCGAGTTTAACTCGAACCCAACCCAACCTAAAACCCAAAATAAAAAAATAAAAATTAATATTTTTTATTTTTTACCTTTCAAATCTTTGATATAAATATATATATATATATATGTATCTATGTATATATATATATGTATCTATATATGTGAAGTATTGTATCCTAATTGGTCTTTAATATATATAATCCGACCCCAATTCAAAACCTAAAATTTTAAAAAAACTTTCAATATTTTTTATTTTTTACCTTCCAAATATTTGATATATATGTATCTATATTATGTGAAGTTCTGTATCATAATTGGTCTTTCATATATATATATATATATATAGATATAGATATATATGTGATTGCCGATAATGAGAGAAAAATCTAATGAAAAGGGTAAAGAGAGAAACAATATTCAAATGATATCCCTTTATCAATAAATTTTGGCCGTCAAACATTTTAAAAGTAAATCTGTGTCCAATCTTCTTTTCGAAAATTAAATCAAAAGGAAAAAATTGGGGGGAGGGGGGGGGGATAGGGTTATTGACAGAGCCTAGTTTGTTATGACATCGGGCCGACCCAACCCAACCTGACTTTGGGTTGGGACAGGGCTAGATTGGGCTTGCCCAACTTGCAGCCCTACATAGTGAGGTAGTTGTTAGTAAGGGAGACTTGTCCCACACATTATCTGAACGGGAAGTGAGATGGGTATAAATGAGTTGATGTTAGCCCCACAAAATAGCTTAAGCTTTAAGTTAGATTGTGAAGCACCCACACGTTACAGTTAGTATCAGAGTCAGACCCAGTCCTTTATCTGATGTTATGCCAAGCGCGGAGTGCACCATCCCTAGTAGGCCAAGTTTAGGTGCTATCCCGAGTAGGCCAATTCAGGTGGGAAAGAATCTTACAAAGGGAGACTTGTCCCATATCAGATCTGAATGAGAAGTGAAATTGGTGTTATAAGGGGATACTTGTCCCACATCGGATTTGAATGAGAAGTGAAATTAGAATAAATGGGTTAAGTGTTAACCGTACATAAAGAGTTTTAACCTTTTTGGTCGGATTGTTAGTTTTGGAGAAAATAAACTATTTGAGGTAATCCTACTTTCCTAAATGTTTTTCTTTTCATCTCATAAGTTTCCTTTCATGATACCTTATGTAAGATTATTTATTAATTATTTATTAATTGTGTGGCCCACATAATTTGGATATGTGATATATTTCATTAATTAGTGGTTAAGTAAATAGATATCAAACAAATATTATATTATTTGGTCAATTTATAAATTACTTTTTTGGTAATTAATTATTGGAGAATTGTTTGTCTATTTGTTCCTTATTTTGACGGAATGAAGTTACGTAGATATTAGGGTTACTAAAGGAAAACTGGTCATCTTATTCCCATCAATTATAAACACTAATGAAACAACACATATAATGTTGTTCGTTCTGCATAAAGGATCTCAACGTTTGACTTGATTTGTACAAGATTTGCTATTATAGATCGAGGTACACGTATAATGTCTAACTATTTATTTATACATTATAGACATGTAAAAATAATGAAGTTCAATTTCCTGGGATTATGATTTGTGTTTAATGTTCTCACACAAATATTATAGCATATTTATTTGTGATTAATGTTTGGCACGAATAATTATAGTTTACATGTGGTATCAGATCTTATGGTTTAAGGACTCATTATTTTCCACTAAAATTTACATAAATAATATATATAAATTTAAAGTAAAATTAAATAGTTTAATTTTATGGATGTTTGCACCCAAAATTTAATTTTTAATTCAGACATATGATGTTGGTTGATTGGAGGAAAAGATATTAATTCAGTCACATGTCATTAGTTGATTGGAAGAAAAGAGGTAACATTTTAGTGATAATAATTTAATATTGTTATTATAAAAAACTCCTATTTAAAATTAGAGTCTAAAGTCAATAAATTACCTGATTTAAAGTTACATCAATTTTATTCCAAAAACACCGTTCATGTGGATAAACTTAAAACAAAAGGCAAAAAAGAGTTGCATTTGGATAAGCTTAAAGTAAAGGAAATTTTCAATTCAAATATAATATTTGAATTTGAAAAGGAAACTGCTGCTCCAGACATCTATATATAGCACCATGAGGGCCTTGTGCAAAAGGTCCCTGATCACAACAAATTTCCTACTTCTGCAATTTCATTTTATCGATGTTTTTCATTCTCTGTAAATTTACTTTAGTCTTTTCATTGTATTACATTTCTTTTGCTTAGGAGTAGTATTAGAATCCAATTCTTATGCTTGTTTCACTTTGACGAGTATAGAATTATGGATTATGTCGTTGTTTTTCTACATTTCGTGCAAAAATAAGAAAAACTTGCAAAAACTAAATTTAAAATGGTATAGAATAAGCAGGGTCGAACCATACAAGATTTAAACTCGTGAATTAAAATTAAAACCAAATTTAAGGAAGAATAACTTTTAAAACAATTTAATGATTTATTACTAATAAGCTAAAAATAAAATAAATAAATAAGACGAAAATTATTTTGATCAAATAATAAGAAAAATCTCAAGGAAAGAATCCACCACCATAGCTTACTATAAATAAATTAGTATATTTCAATGTATATAAATTTTCCTATTATAAGCAAATCACTCCACCAGTCCAATTACATCTTGGAGAGATGAAGGAAAATAATAGCGTGAAATAATAATTGCTTGAGAATATATTTTACTTAATCTGATATATCTTTGTTAAATAGAAATAGGCATTCTCCGAATTACCACTAATTGGCAAACACGAAGAATCCTCTTTCTAATTTTTTTATAACTTTTATTATTTTATCTCACTAATACTGTCTATTTAACCTCCTCTACATATGTCCTTATTTATAGAGTTTAGAATGGAACGATCAAGAGGAGAAAATTCTAATTACAGAAGAGAAAAATAAAATAAAATAAAATCTTCCAAAAATCTTGCTGCTATACAATTTGGCTTGATCTTTGACTTGACGTACTTTCCAATCTGTCTTGATATATTTTCCAATTTGGCTTTGATTAATCGTATAATCCCATATTTCTGCTATTCTTGTCTCTTTTCTTCTTATTCCGAAATCAGCCCCTATAAAACATGAAAAACAGATCTAAGCATATTTATTTAATGAAAAATATTAATTAATCATTTATTATTACGTATAAAATAACAAGTTTTGTGCACTTATCAAATTACCCCCAAATAAGCTTTTGCTAGTCCTCTAGCAATTAAAGACAAAAAGAGATAAGTTTACAAAATTATTACTTTAACTGACTCCTAACTAAAAATATGCCACTTTCGTAGGCTATTTTCGATTGCATTTATCATATGCAATAAGGCCTTAAAGCCCTAGGTTACCCTAGTGGACGAGTTATAACCTCGTGAGAGTTTCCAGAGATGATACCCACAAACATCCAAAATTGTGCACACTTTGCACTTAGCTCAATTATTTTTATGGAATCAAAAACGATTGCATACACGTCATCATCAAGTTAGCTATTATGTCAAGTATAAGAAAGATTAATATTCTCAAGCAATCACAAACCTCGAATTACATGCAATAATACTATGGTCCCCACACAAAGTTCAATTCAACATATTTTCAATTACAATCAATCCCTAGTTTCCTTTTGAAGTGAACTAGTATCCAATTATGTGTTTCACCCTTTTATCCTTATATTAAACATCACAATAGCTTCAACTCATTAATATTCCCTTCTAAGTTAGAGTACCCAAGGCATGAATTCGTGACTTTACTTATGCATGCAAATTTTTCATCTTTCTTTCTTCCATCATCTTCTCTTTTTCTTTTTCTTTTTCTTTTTTTTTTTTTTTTTTTGAAGATGGCAAGCTGTGCAATGTTTAAGTCCCTTAAGCTTTCTAAATGACCCATGTAACGAGCTTTAGGCTAATGGCTCCCAACCAGACAAATTTAGGGCATTAGGTATAAAGACACCCCCAAAAAGCTTATTAACTCAAGTCAACTAAGCTTCGAACCTAAACCACCACATTCATTTTTTTCCTAACCTTCCACTTTTTGACGCGCTCACTACTTACTAAGGCAAGAGACCTGATTACTTTGTGAAAGGTAATAACTAATCATGCACATTTCTCTATCATCATGCCAAGTACATCTACTTTTCAAGGTCTAATAACTCGTATCCAACACATGTAATATATCACATAAGGTTAGACCTATACCCCACAAAAAGATACTAGTGTGCATCTGTG